TGGGCATGGTGGCGCGTGCCTGTAATCTCAGCTACTCAGGAGGCTGAGGCAGGAGAATTGCCTGAACCCAGGAGGCAGAGGTTGCGGTGAGCCGAGATCGCGCCATTGCACTCCAGCCTGGGTAACAAGAGCAAAACTCCATCTCAAACAGGAAAAGAAAAACAGCCCCATCCTCAATCCGGAACCCAAGGAGGACTAAGGTCCCACCTAATGGAGGGAGCCGCCTGCAGGGCCCAGGCCTGTGTGGGAGGAAGAAGAAATGGCCTTTTTGGTGTCTGCGGACATGGAGAGGGGCTAAGCAGAGGCACAGACCTAGGCTTGAAGGGTTTGCCAAGTAAATAAGTTACCTGGGCTGTAATTGAGAAAGACTATGTTAACCAAAGAGCAACCAAGGCAGGTGTCAATCATAGAGGTTTATTTAGCCAAGTTGAGAACACACCCACAGAAAAAAACACAAGCCACAGAAACGGAAACATCTGTGAGCTGTACTTTTTCCAGAGGGGGTTAGGGGAACAGCAGTATTTTAAAATGCAAGGGTAAGCAGGAGGGAAAGATGGGGAGGGAGGCAGTGAGGCAGAAGCTCATTCTTGTGAGGCACTGAGTCAGCACATCTACAGTTTACACCTGGGAAAAGGAAGCGGAGGAAAAGTCAGTTATGCATTTGTCTCCGAGATGATTACTGGTTTTACCTTTGTCCTCTCTCCGCAAGAATCAGCTGGTAATTGACATTGTCAGGGTGAGATCAAAAAAAAACTTGTTTTAGAGCGAGTTTAGAGGGGAGAGAGAGTCTGAAAGATGTAGCTGTTCACAAGGAATTTCTGTGTGAGCGCTTTGGGAGAGAGGGCTTCTGGGGAGATGTGTGCCCTTCCAAGACTGCAGGATCCTGGCTTACGGATGATGCTGTAACAGAGGGTTGTGACGCTGCAGCTGCCTGTTGGGAAGGAGAGGAAAGCAGTGCTGCTCAGTTCCCAGGCTGAACTTCAGGTCCTGAGAGTCTGTTTTCTCTCACAACCAGCTGCAGAGCTGTCACAAGGGAGACCAACAGGATTCATGGAAGGTCAACAGGATGCAGTTGGGGATGTGAATCTTCCTTGCCAGTGTAGACTTGCATGCTGCTATCTGACAGGCCTGTCAGCTCAGACAGGCCTGAGGCTATCCTGCTACAGGTATAGTGCTCCTGGGGAGGTCAATTTTTCATTTAATAATTCATTTAAATTAAAAAAACTAAAGCACTGTGAAATCTCCTCCTGGGCCTGGCGCGGTGGCTCACACTTCTAATCCCAGTACTTTGGTAGGCTGAGGCGGGTGGATCACTTGAAGTCAGGAGTTCAAGACCAGCTTGGCCAACATGGTGAAACCTTGTCTCTACTAAAAATACAAAAATTAGCTGGGAGTGGTAGTGGGAGTGGTAGTGGAGTACAATTCACCTGCCTCAGCCTCCCGAGTAGTAATCCCAGTTACTCAGGAGGCTGAGGCAGGAGAATTGCTTGAACCTGGGAGGCAGAGGTTGCAGTGAGTCAAGATTACACCACTGCACTGCAGCCTAAGAGACAAAGCGAGACTCCATCTCAAAAATAAATAAATAAAAATAAAAATAAAAATGAAAAAAACCATGGAAAAAAATTGCGGAAAGCTCTGTTGATTCTGCCACACTCAGAGCTCTGTCCAGTGTGTGCTGGATCCTCTCACCTCAATGCTGTCAGCACCGAGGTGACAGTGACGCCAAAGCCAGTGAATTCACTTAATTTAGATTGACGTAGTTTTGAAATGAATACGCTTTTGCTTCGAAGACAAATCAATTCCTCTAAAACAAATGAACCAGTTTTTCAATGTGGGAGGTGAACTGTAAAGGTGACTTTTGATATAAAACTCAGTTATAAAAAAACTTAAATATGTGAATCTACTCTTCTCAACTGTAAATTTTGTGAAATTTAAACAAGTACTTTTTTTGGAGACAGGGTCTTGCTCTGTTACTCAGGCTGGAGTACAATGGCACCATCTAGGCTCACTGCAACCTCCACTCCCCAGGTTTAAGCAATTCTCCTGCCTCAGCCTCCCAGGTAGCTGGGATTACAGGTGCCCACCACCATGCCTGGCTAATTTTTGTATTTTTAGTGGAGACAGGGTTTCACCTTGTTGGCCAGCTGGTCTTGAACTCCTGACCTCAGGTGATCAGCCCATCTCAGCCTCTCAAAGTGATGGGATTGCAGGCATTAGCCACCGTGCCCAGCCAAATCAAGTGCTTCTGATGAAAAGTTAGCATCCAAATTGAGATATGTGTAAGCAGAAAATACACATCAGATGTCAAAAACAGAGGACCAAAAAAACACAGAATTTCTCACTTATGATTCCTTATATTGATTACATGCTGATGGAACATTTGTGAGAAATTGAGCTAAAGTGTATATTAAAATTAATTTCATGTGTGTGTTTCCTTTTCCATGGGGCTATGAGAAAATTTAAAATTATATACATGGGGAAAAAAGCTAAAGTTGCCATTTTTTCCCTTTGCCTTCATTTATCTGCTTGTATAATAGACACTGAGGAGCAAATCTTTTTAAAGAAGTACATGTGTGACTTACATTATACTTTTTGTTTTTTGAGACAGAGTCTTGCTCTGTTGCCCAGGCTGGAGTGCAGTGGCGCGATCTTGGCTCACTGCAACCTCCGCCTGCCAGGTTCAAGCAATTCACCTGCCTCAGCCTCCCGAGTAGCTGGGATTACAGGCATGCAGCACCTCACCCAGTTAATTTTTGGGTTTCACCATGTTGGCCAGGATGCTCTTGAACTCTTGACCTCATGATCCGCCCACTTCAGCTTCCCACAGTGCTGGGATTATAGGCGTGAGCCACTGAGCCCGGCTACATTATACTATCTGCAGCACCGGTTCAGAACACTATGACTTTTTCTTTTTTTGGGGGGACAAAGTCTTGCTCTGTTGCCCAGGCTGCAGTGCAGTGCCGTGATCTCCACTCACTGCAACCTCCACCTCCCAGGTTCAAGCGATTCTCCTGCTTCGGCCCCCTGAGTAGCTGGGATTACAGGCCCATGTCACTATGAGCAGCTAATTTTTGTATTTTTAGTAGAGACAGGGTTTCACCATCTTAGCCAGGATGGTCTTGATCTCATAATCTAGTGATCCACCTGCCTCAGCCTCCCAAAGTGCTGAGATTACAGGAGTGAGCCACCGCGCCCAGTCCATGACATTTGACCAAAGGACTCAGCAGAGGGAAGGCTGCCCAGGCCCCAAGCTAGCCACCAGACATTCAGCTTGAAGCACACACCCACACCCTTGGTTCATTCTCACAAATTTTCTCCCCTCCCATCTATTTTGAAGACTCTGGCTCCCTGGCTACGGGCTCACCAGATACCATTCCAGGGCAAAAGCCCAGCGCATCTCCAGGGTTTCCTGGGGAGCTGGATGAATGAGTGAGACCTCCTGGGAGCAGACCTCAGCAGGCAAGGGCTTGGGTAGGCTGTTCTCCACAATTATGTGTCCACAGTAGACCTACCCTGCTCAGACTTGAATTCTCTCAACGTTATGCAAAAGATCTCCCTGTACCCATTTGACACATGCAAAAACTGAAGCCCAGGAAGGTCAAGTTTGGGGAATTGTTTTAGTTGTATGTTTCCTGAGCATCCATTTGAATATAAATTGGACTTTCTTGTTTCAGAAGCAGAGATCAGTAACAGTTTCCAGTTATCCAACTCCTCCCAGCTCCTCCAGGTGGTCATCCAGACAGCTCCCTTATAAAACCGCCTCCTGTGACCACCTCCCCATGGACAGCTGGGTATCACCTGTTTGGCTCGTCCCACTGACCCTTGCACCACACTGATCCCTCTCTGTCACAGTGTGAGTCCCTGGGGCTCATGCCCGCTTGCTCTCATCCCCCTCCCCACCCCCCGTCAGAACCCCAATGGGAAACCTGTTCAGCTAACACCCAGGGCCCTAAAGCCTTTGGCCCGCAGCTCCCTCTCTCTCTCTTCTTCTGCACCTGCTGGCTGAGCCCGTGTGTCCTGGTTGGCTCCCCACTTTGTTGTTTCTTTTTGAGACCAAGTTCCACTCTTGTTGTCCAAGTTGGTGCGATCTCAGCTCACTGCGACCTCTGCCTACCGGGTTCAAGTGATTCTCCTGTCTCTGCCTCCTGAGTAACTGGGATTACAGGCGTTCACCACCACGCTCAACTAATTTTTTGCATTTTTAGTAGAAACAGGGTTTCACCATCTTAGCCAGGATGGTCTTGAACCCCTGACACCAGGTGATCTGCCTGCCTCGGCTTCCCAAAGTGTGGGGATTACAGCTGTCAGCCACTGCACCCAGCCTGACTCCCCCTTTTTACTGGCCCTGCTGCAAACTGTGCTGCCCTCTCTTCTCTGGATCTGTAAGCAATAAACTGCTTCTGTCATTTCATGGGTTCTGATGAGTTGCCTCCTCTGTTCCATCCTAACTTCTTCCCTGGTCAGGGCTCTCTGGGAGAGTGGCTGTCTTGGTAGGAATAAACTGGACACAGGTCAGATGAGAGCCACAAGGGCATGTGCCAGGATAAACAGGCTTCCCACGAGAGGGGCACCTGGCCACAGGCTGGACACTTAGGTATCAGGCCGTCCACCAGGACAAAGAAGGATCCCACGCAAGGCACATGGGAAACACCCAGACCACATCCCCAGAACCCCCATCAGGGAAGGGCTAGAGTTTATATCCACTTTCTCCTGAGAGGGACAGCAAGACCAAATAAGGACGGGGGGTGGGGGGAAGCAACATCGAGTCACGTGCCCAAAGTCACATGCACGCAGCCTGCAGATACCGGAGCAGGTGCACAGCTTCTCAGCGACTCTGTCCTTTCTGCCGCTGCCAGAAACACTGGAGAGACTTCTGATGTAGCCTCAGGCCCTGGGATCCAAAAACACCAGTGTTTGGAAAGCCACTCCCGAGGCGACAACAGCCGATGACGCTCTAGCCCACTGTTTCCTGCTATCTTTTTTAAAAAGCCACAAATTCAAAAATTTGAAAAATTAGTTTATTAGTTTAATACAATGAGGTAAATGGAATCCTGTTTTGATATCAATACTTCCCATATTGCAACCTATGAATGTGACACATTCCCGTCTTGTGACATGATGAGTTCGCCTGCCCCAGTTTACAGTTCCTGTTCTGCACGGCTTTGCAGCCCTTGTCATTTTATACGATGTGTTCAAAGACCAGAAAAGCCCACACTTGACCTGTCAGCTGGTCCTTGAACAGATGTAGGTTTTGTGTTTTGTGTGTTTTGTTTTGTTTTGTTTTGTTTGAGATACAGTCTCCCTGTTGCCCAGGCTGGAGTACAGCGGCGCAATATCCACTCACTGCAACCTCCGCCTCCCAGGTTTGAGTGATTCCCCTGCCTCAGCCTCCTGTGTAGTTGGGATTACAGGAGCACGCCACCACGCTTGGCTAATTTTTGTATTTTTAGTAGAGACAGGGTTTCACCATGTTGGCCAGGCTGGTCTCAAACCCCTGACCTCAAGTGATCCACCTGCCTCGGCCTCCCAAACTGCTAGGATTAAAGGTGTGAGCCACCGCGCCCAACCTGTAGGTTTTAACTAATAATTAGGGTATTACTCTATCATTCAAATTCTCCAGGTACTGTCTTGGTTTTTAATTTTTCATTTTTATTCATTCATTTACTTTTGAGACAGGGCCGCTCTGTCGCCCAGGCTGGAGTGCGGTGGCGGCACAATCTCAGCTCACTGCAGTCTCTACCTCCCGTGTTCTATTGATTCTTGTGCCTCAGTCTCCCAAGTAGCTGGGACTACAGGAGTGCAACACCACACCAGGCTAATTTTGGCATTTTTTTGTAGAGATTGGGGGGGGGGGGGGTCTCACTATGTTAGCCAGGCTGGTATCGAACTCCTGTCCTAAGGTAATCCACCTGCTTTGGCCTCCCAAAGTGCTGGGATGACAGGCATGAGCCACTGCGCCCAGCCAGACTTGGTTTTAAATTTTGATTTGAGGCCGGGCGCGGTGGCTCACACCTGTCATCCCAGCATTTTGGGAGGCCGAGGCAAGTGGATCACGAGGTCAAGAGATCGAGACCATCCTGGTCAATATGGTGAAACCCCGTCTCTACTAAAAATACAAAAAATTAGCTGGGCATGGTGGCGCGTGCCTGTAATCCCAGCTACTCAGGAGGCTGAGGCAGGAGAATTGCCTGAACCCAGGAGGCGGAGGTTGTGGTGAGCCGAGATCGCGCCATTGCACTCCAGCCTGGGTAACAAGAGCGAAACTCCGTCTCAAAAAAAAAATTTTTTGATTTGATGTACATGTTAAAAATTATTTCATGCATTATTTCCTAATGAATTTGTGTTTCAAATGACATAATGAATTTTAGGATTCCTACATTTATTTTATAAAGGCGAAATCAAATCGATTGATCTAAGTATTTCCAAGCGAAGTCTGGGGTGAAAGCTCTTCTGGGAAGGCTTGCCCTTGATTCTTGCTACATGTACTTGTTCAGCCACTCGATTAAATTCCTTCTGGCCTCGTCGATGTAGGGCTTGTCTGCAGGCGAACAGTCTTCTCTCTTCCGATGCACGAACCCGTGAGTCTGCCCGGAAAACGTCTTAATTTGATATTCAACTTTGCAGTGTTCCTTCAGCTTCTGGGTCAGCAAGGATACCTGGTATGCAAAAGAGTTCATGATTTTAGCCCTTTAGTAAACTTTCCCTTCTCCACATCTTCAGTGAGCGTTCATAACAGATTTCACAGGGATGCTTTACATTAGAAACAAGTTCCACAGTTATGCTGAATTCTTTCCTGCTAATTCTTTCCTCGCTCTGTCGCCCAGGCTGGAGTTTATAGTGGTGCCATCTTGGCTCACTGCAACCTCCACCTGCCAAGATCAAGCAATTCTCCTGCGTCAGCCTCCAGAGTAGGAGGGTTGTCAGGCACCTGCTACCACACCTGGCTAATTTTTGCATTTTTAGTAGAGACGGGGTTTCACCATGTTGACCAGGTGGGTCTCAAACTCCTGACCTCAAGTAATCCACCTGCCTCAGCCTCCCAAAGTGCTGGGATGACAGGCATGAGCCACTGCACCCAGCCTTTTCTGCTAATTTCATAATGAACACAGTTCTTATGTCTGGCAAAGGAGAGATTTCAGAGCAAGGTAAAAATGATACATCTATTATGTGAATCACTTGCATTAATGTATTGGTTACTAATATTATAACAACAATTTCTAAATGACTACTTTTTTTTCTTAGAATCAGGGTGTCACTCTGTCATCCAGGCTGGAGTTCAGTGGCACAATCATGGCTCACTGCAGCCTCACAACTCCTGTGCTCAAGCAATCTTCCTGCTTCAGAGTCCCAAATAGCCGAGACTACAAGGTGTGTGCCACCAGGCCAGCTAATTTTTTTAATGTTTTTGTAGAGTGGGGATCTAGATAGACTGCCTAGCCTGGTTTCCAATGGTGAAACCCCATCTCTGCTAAAAATACAAAAATTAGCCAGGCGTGGTGGCGCACACCAGATACTCAGGAAGCTGAGGCAGGAGAATTGATTGAATCCGGGAGACAGAGGTTGCAGTGAGCCGAGATCGTGCCACTGCACTCCAGCCTGAGTGACAGAGAGTGTCCTTCTCAGAATAAATAAATAAGAAGAGAAAAGATGCCAACTTACGTTCTCGAGTGGAATCACAGCATCATTTTCAGCAAAAATGAACAAGGTGGGGTTCTTTAAATTGTAAATGTCTTCCGAATCCTTGACGATGCCTGAAAAACGAGCACAGAGGCATGAGGTGGGATCCCCACACTCATGCCACAGAAAACGGGGTTTCATTTTTCAAAGTAAAATCTCTGCTTTGGGGCTTTATTTTCTTTTTTAGCCATTCCACAGAAGTGGCGTGACCTGTAAGATTAGCATAAAAGAAGGCCAGGCACAGTGGCTCACGTCTGTAATCCCAGCACTTTGGGAGGCAGAGGCAGGTGGATGGCTTAGGCTCAGGAGTTTGTGACCTGCCCAGGTAACATCACGAAACCCTGTCTCTACCAAAAAAAACAAAAAAAAAACCAGAAAAACAAGCCTGGCATGGTGGTGTGTGCCTGTAGCCTCAGCTACCTGGGGACTAGGGTGGGTGGGTCACTGGCACCTGCGAAGCTGAGGCTGCTTCAGCCACGTTTGTGCCACTGCACTTCAGCCTGGGTGACAAGGTGAGATCCTGTCTTTAAAAGAAACCCAAAAAGACTGTAAGAGTACAAGATAAATTTATTTAGTCAGATCTTCCTCCTCTCCACCTCCCCACTTTATGCACTAAAAATCAGGCCACTGAATAATTGAGTAAGACCTTGTCCACTGCGAGTATGGGAAGATGTCCCAGCAGACTGAGGAATGCTCCTGCTGGGAAGGGCCTTGGTTTACGAAGAGGTGATCACTTTCAAACCCTCATTCAAGAAGTTTCTCAGGCCTGCACAAGCCCCACAGATTCTGGCTTGAATGCTCTGAGTAGTTTCATTTGTAAGAGGAGCGTGGTCATTTCAATGGGTATTTAGACTCAAACTAGACTGTGGAAGTGTGAAACAGACTGGGCCTCGCAAGTCAGTGTATAAAAATCAGTTTTTGGCCAGGCATAGTGGCTCACACCTGTAATCCTAGCACTTTGGGAGGCCAAGGCGGGTGGATCACTTGAGGTCAGGAGTTCGAGACCAGCCTGGTCACCAATGCAAAACCCTGTCTCTACTAAAAATACAAAATTAGCTGGGTTTGGTAGCCCCAGCTACTCAGGAGGCTGAAGTAGGAGAATTGCTTGGGCCCAGGAGGCGGAGGTTACAGTGAGCCAAGATCGTACCACTGCACTCCAGCCTGCTGACAGACCAAGATGCTGTCTCAAAATAATAATAATAATAATTAGTTTTCAACTTTCATGTCAGCATTCGAGATTAATTCTGAAATTAGAAGCATGCTCTGCCTGACCCGGCTGTCTGAAAACAAGCTGTGGGTGTGTCCACTTCTATGGGAAAATAAGTACGTGAAAGTTTTGCAGTAAGTTACCATTTTAAGATAAGAAGTAAATAACCTTTTTCCCACTTCCTGCGGGCAGCACAGAAAAGCTAAGTAACAGAGAGAGCCTCCTTCATCTGTAACTACTCTTTAGGAAGCAGGGACCCCCGGAAAAGGTGGCCACGCTCCCTTCCCCACTCTGGCAGTCACTTCATACGGCTGGGTCCCTTTTGATGTCCCTGGGCTTGAGCCCGGCCATGCTCCGCAGTTCACGCACTTCACAACAGCGGCCAGAAGGTGGCGCTGGGGAGGCATCCACTCCTGACCGCTTTTTGCTAAATCGCGCAAAAGCACGGTCAGGATAAAGCATCTGTCAGCTCCATTGTTCCCAGAGGCAGCCGGCCACTGCCTTGAGTTTAAGTCCCTTTGCGTCGTCCTAAGTCAATATTTGAGGGGTTTTTTAAAATGATAAAAGTGGTCGAAAATACCACAGTGAGGAACCATTAAGCCAAGAAAAAATCATTAGTATAACTTCATGACCCGCTTCAGACGTCCCAGGCTCAGCGATGGTTGCACGTACCCATACAACCATTGTTTTTCACTGTCAGTACAGAATTCAGTAAGCTGCGTGAGCTACTCAACACTCTATTATAAACAATTTTGCCCAGCTGGAGGGCTGATGGCGGTGTTTAGCGGGGCGCGGGGCCAGGTGAGGCTATGAAGTTCGGTAAGTGAGGTGGATTAAATGCATTTTCGACGGGATTTTTTCAATTTAGGATGCGTTTATCAGGACTTACACCACTGTAAGTAGAGAAGCATCTGCATTATTTTTAAAGGCTGTATTTCCTCTGTGTCTTTTTTGTTTTTGTATATATATTCGTCTGAATGCTTCTATATCATGAATTTAGCAAGCAGTTTCTATATACAGATATAATGTCATTTCATTGCTATAAAACTTTGGCTTGTTTTGGCCAAAAATGTGTAAGTTGCTGTTTACATTTCAGAGTGTTTTCCTTTCCTCTTTTTTTTTTTTTTTTTTTTTTTTGACGGAGTTTCGCTCTTGTTACCCAGGCTGGAGTGCAATGGTGCAATCTCGGCACCTGGGTTCAGGCAATTCTCCTGCCTCAGCCTCCTGAGTAGCAGGGATTACAGGCACATGCCACCATGCCCAGCTAATTTTTTGTATTTTTAGTAGAAACGGGGTTTCACCATATTGACCAGGATGGTCTCGATCTCTTGACCTCGTGATCCACCCGCCTTGACCTCCCAAAGTGCTGGGATTACAGGCATAAGCCACCGCGCCCGGCCATCTTCCTTTTTTTTAAGAGACAAGGTCTCACTCCCTGTCACCCAGGTTGGAGTGCAGACGTGCATTCATAGCTCAGTGCAGCCTCTAACATCTGGGCTCAAGTGATCCTCCTGCCTCAGCCTCCTGAGAGACTGGGACCACGGGCATGTGCCAGCACACCCAAGTAATTTTTAAATTGTTTATAGTGACAAGGTCTCTTATGTTGCCCTGGCTGATCTCGAACTCCTGGGTTCAAGCTATCTGCCTGTCTTGGACTCCCAAAGTGCTAGGATTACAGGCGTGAGCCACCGTGCCTGCCTTTGCTTTCTTTCCATCTTTAGGGTGCGTGCATGTTTGTGTACAGTTAGAACAATTTATATCTTGGGAAAATCTTTTTCTTTCTTTTTTTCTTTTTTATTTTATTATTATTTTTTTTGAGACAGGGTCATGTTCTGTCACCCAGTCTGGAGTGCAGTGGCGTGATCGTGGCTCACTGCAGCCTTGACCTCCTTGGGCTCAAGCGATTCTCCCACCTCAGCCTCCTAAGTAGCTAGAACTACAGGTCCATGTAACCACGCCCAGCTAAGTTTTGTATTTTTGTAGAGACGGGGTTTTGCCATGTTGCTCAGGTTGGTCTCCAACCCCTGAGCTCAAGTGATCTGCCCGCCTCAGCCTCCCAAAGTGCTGGGATTACAGGCGTTAACCACTGCCAGAAAAATATTTTCACAGATGTCGCTCATAAAAATCTTGTGTAATGTAATGATACTGATCATCACATTGAAAGCAATAGTATCCCCTTCATCCTAGGTGAAGAAATGGAGAGCTCAGGTTAGGTGGCTTTCCCAAAGTCACACCTTTGGGACTCAGGCTTCTTCACTCCCAGTGACATCCTCTGGTTAACTGCATGACAAACCTCCACCCCTATTTCAGATTCTCAAAGCCCATTTCCATAAAATGGGCAGTCTCGGGCTGGGCGCGGTGGCTCACGCCTATAATCCCAGCACTTTGGGAGGCCGAGGCGGGTGGATCACGAGGTCAAGAGATTGAGACCATCCTGGTCAACATGGTGAAACCCCGTCTCTACTAAAAATACAAAAAAAAAATAGCTGGGCATAGTGGCGCATGCCTGTAATCCCAGCTACTCAGGAGGCTGAGGCAGGAGAGTTGCCTGAACCCAGGAGGCAGAGGTTGTGGTGAGCCAAGATCGCGCCATTGCACTCCAGCCTGGGTAACGAGCGAAACTCCGTCCCAAAAAAAAAAAAAAATAGATGGGCAGTCTCCACATTATTGGGGGTTGTGGATGAGAAGGCCTGTGATTGCTGTCGATCTTCCACGCCTCCCTTTTGCATGGAGGAAAAATGCACAAGACAGATTTACCATAGACAGACACCCCTGCCCTGAATTCTGAGTATTTCATCATCAAATTATGGACAGCAATTCCACCCCAGCAGAATCCCACGAGGCCAATTTTCTGGGCGTGACACTGTTGTTTCAGGTACTTCAAGACAGCATCGATTTCTCTAGAACAGAAAGAAAAAGCATTCAAGAATCAGGGTTATTCTGTGAACCCCCTCAAAGGGCTGTGCTGACATCAGGGCTGGATCGGCAACTGTTTTTGAAGTTGTCAAGGATTCTTCTTTTGGGAGCTCCATCCTCAGTCACTCCCACCCAACTGTTGCATCATGCCCGCAAGTCTCCCTGCCAAGCCCAGCCCTCCTCCAACTGTCTGACAGCTGCAGGCATGCTGCGCTCTTCCCAAAACAGATCCAACCAGCTCACTCCCAGCTGAGAGCTGAGCAGTCCTCCACAGCCTCGGGATGAAGGCCACAGCCCACAGCACAGCTCGCAAGGCCCGAGTCCAGGATCTGCTCCCTGCAGAGGGCCCCAGTCTCCTCTGTCCCCTGAGCCTCCCGGAAGGGTCTCCTCTCTCCTCCCTCACATTACCAGCCATAACTACAGGCAGACGCCCTGACACTCTCTGACTTCACATGTTCACTCTCTCCCCAAAACTCCCCACTCTGCATTGCTTGTCTCCTCCCACACCCAAAGAGTGCAGCCAAATTTGGAAGGACTATCTCAGCCACGAGGGGACCAAGAATAGTGGCTCTTGTCTGACAAATGATTCATCTGCAAACTGATTGTTTGGAACTCAGAACACATTTTCAACTAGAAGCAATGGACCAAGCACAGGTGGGCTGCACACGTACGTTTATTGCAGCACAATTCACAGTGGCAAAGATATGCAACCTAAGTGCCCAATGACCGGTGAGTGGGTAGAGAAAGTGCAGTATATATACTCCATGGACTATTAGCCATAAGAAAGAACAAAATAATAGTCTTTTGCAGCAACTTGGATGGAGCTGGAGGCCATTATTCTGAGTGAAATAACTCAGGAATGGAAAACCAAATACTCCCTGTTCTCACTTCTAAGTGGGAGCTAAGCTATGAGTAGGTTCGCAAAGGCACACAGACTGATGTATGGACTATGGAGACTCAGAAGGGGGAGGACAGGAGGGGGTGAGGACTAAAAGAACTATACAGCGGGTAAAATGTACACTACTCAGGTGACAGATGGACTAAAATCTCTCTTTTCACAGACGGTGCTCATAAAATATTGTTTGATATTGATCATCGTCACAGAAAGAATGCTATCCCGGCTGGGTGCGGTGGTTCATGCCTATAGAGAGTCACCATCTCTATTTTATTTTTAAATCTTTAATTAATCAGTTTTTTTTTAGAGACAGAGTCTTGCTCTGTCCCCCAGGCTAGAGTGCAGTGGTAAGACCTCAGCAATTTGCAAGTTCTGCCGCCTACGTTCAGGAGATTCTCCTGCCTCAGCCTCTGGAGTAACTGGGAGTACAGGCATGCATCACAACACCCAGATTTTTTTTTCTGTATTTTTAGTAGAGATGGGGTTTCACCATGTTGGCCAGCCTGGTCTTGAACTCCTGATCTCAAGTAATCAGCCAGCCCAGGCTGCCAAAGTGCTGGGATTACTGGTGTGAGCCACCAAGCCCGGCCTAAAAATTTTAATTAAAAAAATATTTTTTTTAATTAAAAGAATTCAAATTAAACTAAATTTTGAATTAGAAAAATTCAAAAAAAAAAATTTAAGCCAGGTGCAGTGGCTTATGCCTGTAATACCCAGCACTTTGGGGAGGCTGAGGCAGGTGGATCATCTGAGGTCAGGAGTTCGAGACCAGCCTGGCCAACATGGTGGAACCTCGTCTCTACTAAAAAATACAAAAATCAGCCAGGCATGGTGGTATATACCTGTAATCCCAGCTACTTGGGAGGCTGAGACAGGAGAATTGCTTGAACTTGGGAGGTGGAGGTTCCAGTGAACCAAGATCATGCCATTGCACTCCAGTCTGGGTGACAGAGCGAGACTCCATCTCCAAAAAAAAAAAATTGTTTTCCCCTTTGTGCCATGGGAAGGATTCCATTGGTCGTGGAGAAGTCCTACCCTGAGGGAGGGAGCAGTATCTGAAAGGTGAAGCCCACGTGGCTCTCTCCTCCCTGGCGCATGCCACACAAACGGCCACGTCTGCGGATAACTCACCTATCGATCTTCCGGGCATTTCTCGTTTTCAGCCACTCAGGGAAGATGGACCAGTCGCCAGAGGGGTCCCAAGGCTCTTGCCCTACGAAGAAGTCTGGAACAATTGTTCTGCAAAATAGGGACATGAATTGAGCTTAGTTGCAGAGTTGCTTGACTCAGTATTTTGTTTGCATTTATTTAAAAACTTGCTAAGTTAGCAAGTCTGGAGAAAAGGCAAAGGAAAAGTAGTGGCTGTGAAGGCCAACTTTGACCACAGCAAAGCAGCCACCTGGCACCAGGTCAAGCCATCTTAGGTTTCACAACCGCAGGTGCACAGCGTCTGGCAGCCAGTTGGTAACTTGGCCCTGCAAATGATGAGGCCATCCACAGGGCACACCCCCATGGGATAGGCTGGGGGCACCGGAGGGAATGGGCCTGAGGCGGGTGGCTTTGAGAGCCCCTCCTGCCCCCTCAGCCAGCCTGGGGGACTCCTGGCCTTTCACCTGAGCTTCAGGCCGGAGGGCACACCTGGCTAACGTGTCCAGTCACTATGACCAAGCAATTTTCCCAGCCTCCGCCCAAGACGCCAACGAGGTACAGTATCCTCTCCAGAGGGTATGATCCTAAGACGGGCAGCAGAGAGCAAACACACCTGGCCCCAGTCCAGGTCGCTCTTCCACGCAAGCCAACCCAGACGGATGGAGCCAGCCTCTTGGGTTGAGTCCTGTTTCCTAAAATAGAATGCCACCTGGTTGGAGGAACAGGGCTCCTCCTGTAGGGGTAGAAAGAACACTGAAACTTGAGTGAGAAAATCCAAGTTCGAGGCTCAGTACACCGCACGCCGCCGTGTGGCCCTAACGGGTCATGCCACCACTTCCAGCCTTATTTTCTTATCTGACAAAGAAACAGCACCCTTGCACTGCCGAACCTCAGAGGAGGCTCTGGAGGGCAAAAAGACTTGTATCCATGTGAAAGTGCTTTGTAAACCAGGGGTCTTTCCTTATCGTTTATGTCCTGAGTCCTGCTAAAGGACCCACCGTGAAATAGCAGGAACAGCAATGCCATTTGATCGGCTGCTCGGGCGCTGCGATCTGGCGCAAGGTCCCAGCTCTCTTTATGGCCTGGTTTCCTAATCTGCAAAATGAGAGCAACAGCAGCTCTGCCCTCAAGGGGCTGCCGGAGGATTAAGGGCAACGATCCCAGTCATACCCTTAGCACTGGCTCTAGCGGAGCAAGAGGCTAGCTATTTTTTTTTATTACTGGGCTTGCTCCTAGAAAGTTAAGCCCCCTCATCTGGGGACATGAAAAAGGAAAACTTGAAGGAAGGTCTTTTCATTCAGCACTGAGTCCGCATCCTGTCAGGGCAGGCATGATTCCTTTAATCCGGTTTCTCCTCCTAGGAAAACATGATGTAGGCTCACCCTCGGAGTCTCCAGCTTCTCTTTCTTTGAACACAAAGGAATCCAGCCCTGCACCAAGCTCAGGGCTTGCTGGGTTGACGCTTTCCGACGCTGGAGGAAGGAAGGGTGCTGGCTCTCCTCTGTGCTTTATGCCAGGGGCAAATAAGAAGCAATCGGGTATCAGCCTTTGCCAAAGGCTGATACAAACTTGGCCAGACAAAGAGGTAAACTTTGGTAGGGGAGCAAGGTCTCACTGTGCCACTTCTGAACCCCAGTCTAATTCTGACAGGGCCACGATGGTACGTGTGTGGACCAGGTGGATTCGTGGCCAAATGAGCCTGTGAAATCTGACCCGAGGCTGAGCTGCTTGAAGGGCCAAGTGATGGGTCCATTTCGGAGCCGGTGAGGTCTGCCCAAGGTGTCCAGTGCCTGCGTCTGGCCGGAGCCCCACACGGGGAAAGAATTCTCAGTGTCCAGCAAGTCTGGAGGTCATGTACACCCAGGAGGACAAGAAGCCAGGGTTGGGTTAGCAGCAGCAGGAGGGTGTTTAATTTCACATGACATTTCCCATTTACCTTCACCACAGTGAGATAAGGACGTGTTTCATATAAATTCTGTATAGTCAGACTGTTTTGTTTTTTTTTTGTTTTTGAGACAGAGTGTTGCTTTTGTCACCCAAACTGGAGTACAATGGTGTGTTCTCGGCTCACTACAACTCCCACTTCCCAGATTCAAGCGATTGTCCTGCCTCAGCCTCCCAAGTAGCTAGGATTACAGGCATGCACCACCACGCCCGGCAATTTTTGTATTTTTAGTAGAGTCAGGGTTTCACCATGTTGGTCAGGCTGGTGTCGAACTCCTGACCTCCAGTGATCCGCCCACCTCGTCCTCCCGAAAATGCTGGGATTACAGGCCTGAGCCACTGTGCCCAGCGGTTTGTTTTTAAAGGGAACAAAATAAACCATCAAAATGTATATGAATTTAAACAAAGAAACAGAACTTTGTACATACGTGTATCCATTTCCTGAGATCATGTCAGCCATATATCTGGTGTTGGGCAACTGCCAGCCAAATATATCTTGAATGACAATCACAGCTTTGCCTGCATCAACAGGGGATTTGGTGACATAAGCCTTGATGTGCTCGACTTGAACTTCACGGCCCATCCCTCCATACTCAAGTCTGTGGCCAATGTCACATGGACAAGGATAACCTTCGTTAGCCATTGCCGGGATTTCAGTCGGGCTATGGAGAGAGAGACGTGTCATATTCTGAATGCTGCAAATCTAAAGGTTATAAATGGTAAGTAAACCTCGGATCAAGATGACAGAAAAAATGCATTTTAACTGCATCTATGGTGTTAGGTGAGAAATCAGTAGTAACTTCTGGTTCTGACAACACTGCAGATTAAGGCTACAGACACTAGAAATGGCAGACTGAATAACAACAAAAAGAAGAGATGAAGAACTCATAGGGAAAACGGACTCCCCAGGGCCGGGATTGGAGAGGAAACTGAAAGCCAGGGTGAGGCTGAACCCACAGACGCTGACGGGCCCAGTGATGCTGGGGGACAGGACCCGCCCCAGGAACACCCCAACAGTCGGGTGCTTAGGATTTTGTGTCGACGTGTAGAAGCAGCCTTGGAAGCACGTGAGAGCCACGCCTGCAATGTTGAGCCCCCAAAGGTTCATGTCTCAGGTAAGGCAGCCAAAGCAAAACGAAAGAGCTCTACCCCCCAGGCTCCGGGATGTGCAAAGAAGCTCGTCTCCGTCTGGATTCTGAGTGGAAGGGAAAAAAGAAAGCAATCCCCACGTGTACACCATGCCTGCAAAGTAGGAACACCTGGCTGAGAAATGAATACAAGTGACTCCGGGCCAGCGAAACGCCTGGAACACCTGGCAGAGGCCAGTGCAAATCCACTTTACCGCGAGACTCCCACCGTCCAGGCCAGAAATACACCCCGCTGAAGAGGAGCCCGTTATAAAAACTACACACAAGGAGAGGATCCGAATTAACAAGAACAGGCAGACACGACAACTGGGAGGAATGCACGGTGGGAATGGGGCTTGAAACTCACCTAAAAACACTTGGTGAATCAAAACAGAAAACAGGAAGGAATTAGGAAATTAAAAACCTGTTCATTAAAAAGCATCCATTGATGCCGCAGAAATCGGGGAAAGGGTGGAACGAGGAGTTTGATTCGACATGACTGTGAACAATCAGCTGAGATACTCACTGCCTGCCCTCAGGCCTGCGGAAACTTAAACAAGTGTAAACAGACTGAACTCACTAGCTGAAACAGATTCTCAACTTGGATTTCTTTTGTTTTGTTTTTTGAGACAGGATCTCGCTCTGTCGCCCAGGCTAGAGTGCAGTGGCACAAACACAGCTCACTACAGCTACAGCCTCGACCTCCCTGGGCTCAAGTAGTCCTCCCACCTTAGCCTCCCAAATAGCTGGGACTATGGAAAACACCACCACAATCAACTCCTTTAAAATACATAGATAGATAGATGAGTTCTCACTATATTGCCCAGGTTGGTCTCATACTTCTGGGCCCACACAATCATCCTGCCTCGGACTCCCAAAGCGCTAGGTGTGACCCACCGTGCCTGGTTCAAATTAGACTTTTTAAATATTAAGATTCCATCAAAAAAGAGGAACTGGGAAGACTAAACCCAAAGACACACATAGATCCCTTCATTAGCAACTGGAGATTACAGAGTCATTAGAAACAGATCTGAACTGCCTGCATATTAACCCACAACCAGTGTTTCAGCAAAGATTTTATATAACAAATGTTATACAAATGCCATGAAGAAATTATAACAAAGACCAAAAGATTTAGAACTGAATCACCATGAGAACACTATATAGCAATTGTATTGATACAATCAATACAGCGGTCCTTAGAGACATTTTTATAGCCTAGACTGCATATGCTTCAACAAGATGAAAGAATGAAATTAAGCTAAGAATCAAGAAGTTAGAAGAAAAAAAATAGAACGAAGCCTGTCTTAGTTCATTCAAGCTGTTGTAACAAAATATTGTGAACTGGGTAGCTCATTAAGGCGGTTTATTCTTTACAGTCCTGGGGGCTGGGAAATCCCAGTTCAAGGCTCTGGCAGGTGCAATGTTGGGTGAGAGTCCACTTTCTGGTTCATAGATGGCACCCTCTCCTTGTGTCCTCACATGGTAGAAGGGACTAGCTGGCTCTCTGGGGTCTCTTTATAAGGACACTAACCCCTATAGTAAGAGCTCTGCCCTCATGACCTAATCACTTCCCAAAGACCTGACCTCCTAATACCATCACCTTAAGGGTTAGGATTTCAACATAGGCATTCTGGGGAGACACACACATTCAGACCACAGCAAACCCTACAAAGAGAAAATAATAAAGAAACAATAGAAGAAAACCAAAAAGATTAAAATACGATCCCTTGAAAAGTTATAAAATAGGCACATCTCCAACAAAACTGACCAATAAAAGGGAAAGAATGCTGAACACACTCATGCAACAATAAAATGATATCTGGAATGAAAACGTGACATAAAGATTTTACCCTTAAAAATAATAAGAAATTGCTGGGCGTGGTGGCTCACATCTGTGACCCCAGTACTTTGGGAGGCGGAGGCAGGCAGATTGCGAGGTCAGGAGTTTGACACCAGCCTGACCAACATGGTGAAACCCCATCTCTAATAAAAATACAAAAAAATTTAGCCAGGTGTGGTGGTACACGCCTGTAATCCCAGTTCTCCAGAAGCTGAGGCAGGAGAATTGCTTGAACACGGGAGGTGGAGGTTGCAGTGAGCCAAGATCGAGTCACTGCACTCCAGCCTGGGTGACAGAGCGAGACTCTGTCTCAAAAAATAAAAAATAAAAATAAGAAATTAATACAAACAACTTTATGTTAATAAATTTAAAAACAGGAAAAAAAAGTGTCAAATTGGTAAAAGAGAAAAGAGAGGAAATGTTTCCCAACTATTTTATATGTCTGTCTTTGAAATCTGGCCAGGGGCGGTGCCTCACACCTGTAATCCTAGCACTTTGAAAGGCTGAGGGGGGAGGACTGCTTGAGCGCAGACGTTTGAGAAAAGCTTGGGTAACATAGTAAGACCCTGTGTCTACAAAAAAATAATTAGCCTGCTGTGGTGGTGCACGCCTGTAGTCCCAGCTCCTTGGAAGGCTGAAGTGGGAGGATCCCTGAGCCTGAGAGGTCGTGGCTACAATGAGCTATAATTGATTTGATCACCCACCACACTCCAGCCTGGGTGACAGAGAAAGAACGTGAAAGAAAAGAAAAAAATTTCAAAGTAACAGGAAAAAAGGTGGTGAGACAACTCCAGATTAAAAGAAACAACAGAGAAGTCAACTTGATTGCACCACGTGAACCTTAACTAGATTCTGGTTCACGATTAAGAACAGCTGTATGAGACATTTGGCGACAACAGAAGGAGGGAATATGGATGGGGGTTGATACTATTAATGACCATTACCTTTTCAGGTATGAGACAAGCGGAAATACAGAATGTTCCTAGATAGATGATGTACAAGTGTCATAGCCTCTGTGATTTATCCCCAAATGGCTCACAAAATACACATGTACACAACACACATACAGACATGTAAAGCAATACGGCAAATTGCCAAGAATTGTTGAATACACACGATCCATGTATAAATGTTTGCTGGCCAGGTGCAGTGGCTCACGCCAATAATCCCAGCACTTTGGGAGGCCGAGGAGGGTGGATCACGAGGTCAAGAGATCGAGACCATCCTGTTCAACGAGGTGAAACCCTGTCTCAACTAAAAATACAAAAAAGTAGCTGGGCTTGGTGGCGCGTGCCTGTAATCCCAGCTACTCGGGAGGCTGAGGCAGGAGAATTGCCTGAACCCAGGAGGTGGAGGTTGCGGTGAGCCGAGATCACGCCATTGCACTCCAGCCTGGGTAACAAGAGCGAGACTCCGTCTCAAAAAAAAAATGTTTGCTGTACTATTCCTTCCATTTTTTTGGGTCTGAAAATTTTTTATAACCAAAAACTGGGGTGGGAGACCTGACAAAAAAGATTCACTAATCAAAAAAAAAAAAAAAAAAAAACATCGGGAGTAAATGTCTACTGGAGCAAATAATGCCTTGGATACAAAAACCGGACAACGATAAATTGAGAATGAAAAACTGAATGACTCTCTTACTTATAAATGTAGGTGCAAAAGTCCTAAGTGAAATATTTGCACACAAATTCTTACAATATATTTTAAAAGGTATAAATAATGACCATATCATGAATGCAAAGATGGTTTGCCGTTACACATTCTATGATGTAATACATGAAATTAACAAATTAAAGGAGTGAATCCATGTTTGCAGATTCTGTATTCATGAATTCATCTACTTGCTGTTTTGTTTTGTTTTGTTTTTGAGATGGAGTCTCACTTTTGTCACCCAGGCTGGAGTGTAGGGGTATGATCTCAGCTCACTGCAACCTCTGCTTTCTGGGTTCAAACGATTCTCCTGCCTCTGCCTCCTGATTAGTTGGGATTACAGGCATCCGCCACCAGGCCCAGCTAATTTTTGTATTTTTAGTAGAGACAGGGTTTCACCATGTTGGCCAGGCTGGTCTCAAGCTCCTGACCTCAGGTGATCCACCTGCCTTGGCCTCCCAAAGTGCATTCCAGGTGTGAGCCACTGTGCCTGGCCATACCTGCTCAATGTATTTTGTAACACCACCATCATTCACAGACATTCAAAAACTGTGAACAATGTGCACACTCCCAGCTGAGAACACACAGGGTGCAAGAGGCTGAAAGTGTCCCCCAAAAGTCAGATGTTGAAACCCTAATTCCAATGGAATGATATTTGGAGTTGGGGTCTTTGGCAGTCAAGTAGTTCACAAGTGCAGAGCCCTCAAGAATGGGATGAGTGCCTTGTAAAGCCCAGAGAACGGGCTTGCCTTCTTTCTCTCCGGTGAGAACACAGCCAGAAGATGACTGTCTGCAAACCAGAAACAGGCCCTCAGCAGACACTGGATCCGCCAGTGCCTTGATCTGGGACTTCTCAGCCTCGAGAACTATGAGAAATGTTTGTTGTTGAAGCCACATTCATTAGAGCAGCCCGGCTGCCTGCAACACTCTGCCTTCTCATTTTAGCTCCCACACAGTTTAAGCAAGTGTCCTGCGTACAGTCTTAGTGCACATTTTTGTGCTTTCTGCGGGGTTGATTTTGCTGTTTAAAAGGCCCCACACT